GTCGATCTGCCTGTTCTGCTCCCCACTCTGTCTCTGGTGAAGCCTCTCGCCGCCCCTGAGCCATTGGCCTGTATCCCCGTTCTGTATGCACAAATGAATAAATCTTAAAAAAAAAAAAATGTTATTTTTTTAAGTAGTCTCAGACTCACAGCATATTTAAGCAGGAAGTAGTTCCCATATACCTCCTGTTACCCCACAGCTTCCTTCACTATCACAATCCCTCACTAGAGCGGCACATTTGTTCCAACTGCTGAGGGCTCAAGGGCACATCAACTAGTCCATAGTTGACATGAGAGTTCCTGGGGTGCGATGGCATATATTTCTCATTAGAGTACTTTGCAAAGTAGTTTTACGTCCCTAAAAATCACCTCTAGTCTGCCTACTCATCCCTCACTTCCTGCTATCTCTTGACAATCACTGATACTTTTACTGTCTCCAAAGTCCTCTTCTAAAATGTCATAATTTTGAATTAAGAGTATATTTGTATCTTTTTCAGATTGACTTCTTTTACCTTAGAGTGGATTTGGAATATCACTAGCTTAATTGCCGAAAACAGAAGGTTGTTGAAGGTGAGTATCACATAAAATACATGAAATCACATGACATATTATTATAGTAGACTAACTTTATAGTAGTAGGTATAAAGATTCTAGAGTTTCTTACAGAAAAAAATAGACAAAATTTGATGGTATTAGACTTGGAGCACAAAGAAGCAGAGGAGGGATAACTGGTTTTGGAATGTGCTACTGGTAGGTCAGTGGCATATTTTCTAAGCCAGAAAAGGCTAACAAGGGTTATTAGGCTTAGAAAGAAAGGTCATGTATTAATGCTTGGAGATATTCCATCAAAGTCCTTTCAGACAGCTGAGTTGAGGTAATTTAGTCAGAAGTGAGTTATAATGGAGAGATATTTTTTTTTTTAAGATTTATTTATTTGTGCATACAGAACTGGGATACAGGCCAGAGGCTCAGGGGTGGTGAGAGGCTTCACCAGAGACAGAGTGGGGAGCAGAACAGGCAGATCGACGAAGTACACTGCTGAGGGGAGCAGCGGGCGGGTCAGGAGAGGTCTGCCACGCCATGTGGTCACCTCCGGGGCAGGCGGGAATGGAACTCATGCAGAAGCGGCTTTAGATTCTCAGTGCTGTGCTTTAACCTGCTGCGCCACCAAGGAGGGCCGAGAGATATGTTTTTTTAATACCATGTATGTGTATTTTTGAAAGCTATGGGCATGAATGATGTTATATAGGGAGAACATAATGAGAAGAGAGCGAAGGCCTTCAGGAACTTGGTTAGCTGATGGCTATATGAAAAAGGGAAAGTTGGCAACTAGACTAAAAAAAGCATGTCGAAGAGGTAGCCAAAAAATCAACAAAATCTGAGAAATGCCACATGTAAGTCACACACCTTCCATGAAGAATTTTTTGTTTTAATTAAGCTAACCTGCAAATGAGTATTCTTTTCACTAACTGGAAGACTCAATGAATTATTAGGATGTGTGTGGGTGCTATTCCACACTGCCCCTATTTAAACATACGGATCAACACTTCTATATCCTGTTGTTAGCATCTGCTTTGAAGTAGTGGGCTGCCATTCTCACAGTTTTTGACTCACTCTATTTGGAAGATAGTGCATGACAAGTAAATGATTTTTTGAACTATGTTGTTTACATTAGTAACTTCATTCCTGAGGTAAAGATGTTCAGACCCTTTTTCTATTAGTTGAGCCTAATTAAAAAGCTTCTGTGAAACATACCATACAAACTTTACAACATCATGTTCTCCCACTGCTTCAACCTGGATTCTCAAAATGTTTCCAATTATTTTCCCTCTTGCTTATTCCTATTGTCTTTTAGGTCCTGATGCTGAGAATAGTGACTAATTTTAATAACAAAGATGTGTTTTAGTAGTTGATATAGTCAATTGTCAGGCCACAGAAAAGAATTCTTTGTCTCTAGCAGATAGAAGATAGACTTGAAAGGTTCATCTTTTGATTCTGATTTAGTATACTCTCAATAAGTAGATGAAAACTTTCGTTGGCTAAACAGAGTTTTCATTACTAAAAAACAATGAAATAAAATATTCACTGGTGTCATACACTTCTCTACCTGAGTTTGTAAAGTGCCAAGGTATCTTTCCAAATCTTTCCAAAAAAAAAAAATATGATGTAAGTATTTTGTCACCTAACCAGTGTGACTATTGTTTTAATTAAACTGAGCACAAAACTTCTAGTCTGGGCCTTCCTGGTAGTTTAGGGGTGACAGTCTCAGCACTATCAAGCTATCAGCAGCCACTGCAGTATGAGATCGATACCCAGCCAGGGAGCTAAACCACATGCACAGCAGACCTCTCCTGGCTGGCTACTGCTCCCCACAGCAGTGTATTTCAGTTAACCTGCCTGTTCTGCTTCCCACTCTTCCTGGTGAATCCTCTTACTCTCCAGTACCTCTGGCTTACTTCTAGTTCTTGTATACATTTAAAAAAAAAAAAAAAGCGCTTTCTAATTTGCCATTACTTTACCTCATTGTTGTAACTTTGCCATATTTATAAACTCGGTCTTAATGTTTTTAGTAGTGGTTGGGAAAATATTGACTGTTTTCTTCATAAAAGGAGGGAGTATTTTAAAATCAGAGGCAACACATATGATTCCCTATTTTTCTCATATTTGGCAAATCTTATTAAATTCTTAAAAGTCTGAGAAACAATCATTTTCCAGGATCTTGTATCATCTCTAAATAAAGTTCATTACATTACTACTGTGGATGACATATTACATTAATCCATCAGTGTTAAAAAGATGCCATAAAGGACAGTTTACTATATAGGCCCCATAATCAAAATTTGATGCCAAATAATGATTTCAGCAGATAAGTCCTCAAAAAGCATCAAAATATGACTTGTCAAAATCTGAGGGAGAGGAGACAATCAATATGCTCTACTGGGAAAAAATAATCAAAAGATTTTCATATATTTCCTCCATATAAAATCTATGAAGCACCTGTTTTATGAACTGGCATTTAAGTATCAAAAGAATTATGAAACTTTCAAAAAGTAATTATTATCTTACCAAAACAGAGTATATAATGTTATAATGTTATGAACTGACATCTACCTATCATTCATTGTTTCTGGAGTGTTGCTGTTTTTGTATAACTTTTTATAGATTTAAAAGGTTTTGTGGCCCTACTGGGCTAAATTACAAAGGTTCTCAACGGTTTAAGTATATTAGTTTTGGAAATACTAGTTAACATCAAAAACCCGTTTAAAATTGCAAGGAGGCACTTCAGAGAGGGAGATTGTGTCTGCAGAGGGAAGAAAAGTAAAGCTTTTGTATTTCTTCTGACATTGGAATCATCTAGAAATGGTTAGCTCCTACATTTTCATCAATATTCATATCAGTACTGGGAAAAATACTCAGCAATTTTACAACTGTTTAAACACAGTAGTCATTTAATGCTGGATGGAATCAAAATTGCATGGCATCTTTGTTGAAAACACACTTTATGGAAATATATTCAATCTTAAATCATTGCTAAAAATAGCACACAAAATAGCTAACTTGGAAAACAAACAGTGACACTTGAGTCAGAATAATCTTCAAAAGGGCAAATTATATGTCAATGCTGCCCTCAAATTTAATGCACTGTTTTAACACCATAGTTACAAGTTCTCAAAGATACTAGTGGGGATGTTTAACAGGCTGTAACTTAAGCCACCACTAAAGAATGAAATTGGGGGCCTAATTTGTTCCTGTGAGATGCCATTGCATGCACAGGAAAACTTGGGTCCTTGGAATATTTACTCATTAGGCCTGAACTAACAGATTTTTACACCCAATTTTCTCAAGAACACCTTGAACTTCAATCAGATTTTCCCAACTATCTAGTTGGATACTAGCTTTCAAAGATTTATCACTGTTCGTATAACTTTCATTAATATACTTAACAGTTACAGAAGGCCCTCACATTTTTGGGATCTGCAAGGATAATATCTTCTTAAATGTATAAAAACTTACTCAAATACAATATTTTCTTATGGCAAGAACAGAAAAGAACTTAGTTTCTGAAATGTTTTTGATGTAGTAATTTTAATAGAATCTCTGTTTGATTTATTCTTATATAAGGCAATACTCTTGCCAAATCTTACATAGGGAAATTAGAAAAGCATAGATATTTTCATTATACATTAAAAAAATATCAGCCTATTTTCATTTTCTACAATGAGACTTTCAGTGGATTAATTACCTCAACTATTATTTCAACAGTAAATTTGAAATGTAGCGTTCACTACTAACGATTCTGAAAAAGCATTTAAATATAAAATTAAGTTTAGGGCATGTTAATACATGTTGTCTACATCATCAATATAAATATTTCATGTAGGTGCTAGGTTCAAACAAATTTGCTAGGAATTGGAGAAAAGCAAGTAAAAGTTTGGGTTCATAGTTATCAATTGATTCCATATAAGACAAACCTGCGAAAAATTAAGATAGTAATTTTATTATTAGACATTAGACATTAATTATTAGATTATTAACATAAGAAATGTTAATAATTTCATCTATATAAAGGGAGATGTTCCCTTAAAGAAGACTTGAAGGCTGACAGGTGTCCAATGGGGGTGAATATTGCAGGTAATCACCTACAACAACAATTTAAATAAACTTGCAGCCAGAACCACCTTTTGCCCATACACCAGAATATTTGAAGAATAAATTTCAATTCCAGGCTTTCACAAAATAGTGTGTTAAAAACAAAATAATTTAATAGTAACAATCAACTTCACATTCCATTTTACATTATTTCTTTTTACTCAATATCACATTGACTGTCACACAAAAAAGTCAACCTAAGAAATTTGGGCTGCAGTTAAGTACAACCTTTATAGAAGGTGAACATCTTCACATTAGAAGAACTTTGGAGTCTCTATATTAGAAGTTTGAGTCTATATATCCTGGTTTCCCTGAAATTACCAATAAATAGTACATTGAAGATCTGAACTGTCAATTAAGCTCCAATAGCCTCATATCATTTAAAAGCTGTTCTGGGATTGGTTCTGGAAATGGTGAAGCAACAATACTTTCTACCTTTACCTTCACTAATTACAATGAAAATAAACTGTGGGCTAAAACAAATATCTGAGATTTTTATCCAGGCATTCAGAACTTTAAGAGACAAGTTGGTGGTAAGTCCCTTGTTTGGAGATATTTTGTTTTGTTTTGTTTTTACGTTTTAAAAAGACCGGTTTACTAGGAAAATGAGAAAAAGAGGCATATGATTAGTCACAGGTGGACAGGAAAGCTGTTGCTGCAGTTTGCAAAAATAAAAAGTTTGTGAAAGTTTTGCTGCTGTTTGCAGAAATAAAAAAGATTGTGAAAGGTTTGGGCAAAAAAGGTTTGTGAAACACCTGCGTAATCACAGGTGGGTGGGAAAACTACTGGAAAGCTTTAATTTTGTTGCTGTTACATTTTGTTTGTGTTTGTGTGGTTGGCCTCCTATCTATACTGCAGTCTGGGCACTAGATGAACCTCAAACATTTAGCTGCTGATGAGCATAAAAGGAAAAAGCCCCAAGAAATGCCTCCGGTGTCTCCCGGAAGTCCAAGAAAGGAGCAGAGGAGCTGGAAACATAACAAATCTTTTTGATCCTATGCCTCCTACTCCAGATGAACACCAAAAAGAAGCTGGAATCTCCATATCCTACACCAACTGAGTATAAGGCTGTGTCCTTCCCTTCTCCATTGATCAATGTAGGAGTTATAGCTCTATAAGGGTCCATTTTAAAGTATATATGGAAAAGCCAAGGAGATATAGCATTCTCAATACTTGAGAAAAAAAAAGAGCATTCGGGGACATTATTAATTTTAAGATATTCATATAGCTAGAATGGCAAGACAAAATAGCACTAGTGAAAACATGAATATATAAATCAAAGAAACAAATATATTCTAGACTAGGACCTCTCAAATACTGTCATCTTTGACAAAGGTATAATAATAGTGCAGTGAGAGAGAGGGCAATCTTTTCAAAATGATTCCTGGGATAATTGACATTCATATTTTAAAAAGCAATCCTTAAGCTATATCTTGTACCACAATTACAGAGTAACTAGTTGTGCAACTATATGCTGATATAAAATGTGAAACAGTAAAACTATTAAACTTGTAGGTGAAAATAAAGAAGATACTTGTGATTTTGGGGATAGGGAAGAGTTCTTTGACCACCAAAATGATGCTCTATAAAAGAAAAAAATTAGTCTTCATCAATATGAAAAATACCTTTGTTCTGTTATGAACACTTTTAAGAGACTAAACAGATCATCCATAGATGATCATCCAATATTTGAAAGAAAATATTGGCAAATCACATATCAGACAATCTGTATCCAGGAGATCTAAAACAAAACAAAACAAAAATCCTCTCAAATGAACAACTCCTTAAAGAAAAATAGGGATGGAAGTTTTTAATAGATACCAAAAAAGATACCAAGATGAAAATATATATGGGAAAAGATACCCATCATCATTAGTGACTTCCAAAAACAAAAACATTACATTTCTATTGGAATGATTTATATAAAGAATAAATAAATTTAAATATAGAATAATAATCTTGAGTACTGATAATAGAAGTACTAGGAAACTCAAACCCTGCTGGTAGGAATCTAAAATATCATAGTTCTGGAAAAAGGTTTGACATTTCTTACAAACTTATACATACCTCACTATATAAATTAACAATCTTGTTATAGCTATTTGTCCTAAAGAAGGAAAATCTAACATTGCACAAATACCTCAAGTTGAATGTATATAACATTACTTACAATTGAGCCAAACTAAATGCAATCCAAATATCCTTTAATAAATGAATGAATACATAACTTGTTAGTGTAGTCATATAATGGAATACTATATAGAAACATAAAAGGATGAATTTTTATTACAAACAAAAACTGAGGTGGTCTCAAATTTATTGATTTCAATGAAATAACCCAGTTTCAAAGGTTACCTACTGTAACATTTCATTTATATGACATTCTAGAGGACAGAAAAAAACATAAAACAGAGAAACATCAGAGTTAACAGGGTAGGATAAAGAGTATCAGTGTGCAGTTCAGCTCTGTTCCTAAATGCTACCAGTAGTAAAAGACCAATATTTATCAATACCTCTTCAATGGCGCCAGCAGAAATTCTGTGACCTGCAACATTTATCACATCATCAACTCGAGACATAACATACAAATATCCTTCTTCATCCATATAACCAGCATCCATGGTGTCATAGTAGCCCTGAAAACAAGAATGAATAAAATTGAATTAGGATGCTGTTAGATAATACAATCATTTGTAAATTTGGTAAAAAGGAAAGCCTGATAGAAACCCACTGCATTTAACTTTTCACTAGCTAGATTATGGAATTAAATTACTTTTGCTTTTGAAAGTTTAATAGAACCTGTTCCTTTAACAGTCAGAAATAAATTAAAATTTTATTATATATATGAAAATTAAGTGTATGAGCTTAGAATTATAAACTTTATGAACCCAATTTCTTTTTTTACCATGAATAGCTCAATATTTCCAATAAACTTGTATATTGTAAATTAATCCCTTGATAGATTTCTTCTTTGTGTTAATTTTAAAAAGCTATAAAGCTTCTGTGAATAATTATAAAATACAGCAGTAGATTAGTCACATTAATTTGGATTGGAGCTTCAATGAAATATAGTTAGTATGAAATTTAATTTGTAATCAACTCAAAACAGCAGCATATCTTCATTGTCCCAGACATCACAAGAGTGAGGGATCAAGAAAAATAATAAGAAAAGGAAACAAATATTACTTTCCATAATATTTCCTATGGTTTTCACTTCTTTAACTTCTTATTTTTAACTTCTGTAAATTCTTACTTATTTTGATACCTATGTTTATGAGCATGAACTTTAACCCAGGTGTGTCACTATTTGTGTTGTTTAAACTTTATGAAATTCAGTTTTCTCATCTATTAATATAGATGAGAAGTATAAATTAGTTGCATGAAAGAAAAAAAAATTGTATAACATCATGAACCCATAATAGTAGACAACTTTTTACTGTAATTACTACTTTAATTACTACTAGACAATCTTGAAAAACACAGATGCTGGAACCAAAGATGTGGGTTCAGATAATAATTATATCAATTCTATGCTATGGGCAACTTTTTGGACCCTTCTCTGCCATTCTTAACCCCTTAGATGAGAAGCTTGAGGCCATAATAACCAAAACAGTATAAATTCACTTCATATTGATTAACCATAAACTAGGGCTTTGAAGTTGATCATGTTAAATGCTGAAGGTCCTCAAGTTAAAATCACAAAAGCACATTGATTCAACATTGTCAAGTTACAATTAACCTCATCAGTTCTTTGATGGCTTAACTGTGGCCCATCAGGTGACAGACTGAGATGACTGGAGACAGCCACACTTGACAAACCTTCCTTTCCAGTCCCTTGGGGACATGTTTAACCTTGATTCCTAAGGTCCTTTAATCGGAGAGCTTTTCATAGGAAGATCTTTTCGTAAGTCTCCTGTCATTTGTCTGGTTGATAAGGTTGGCTGTCCTTCATTCACAAATAATATAGAAAGCTAAATATTTAGACTTTATTTTATTATGAAATTCTGTTACTCATTATTTTTCTGACCCAGTGTGTAATGAGCCCAGCTCTCTCTCTCAGGGAAAGGAGTTACAAGATAGCAGAAGATGACGGCGGAAACCTGTCCTGCATGATCAATAAATTGCTTTTGCAAACAAAACACAGGACTGTGTTAAAGGGTAATGGGAAAATGACAAAACAGAAAACCGGAAGCCACTTTGTTTGTTATCCAGGGTACTGGAGGTTGGGTTTTAAAAGCACAGGCTCCATTCTCTATCTGTATTTTAACATGGGAAATTAAGTTATAGAGTTCCGAGAACAATCAGGAAAGAATGTCAAAAACAAAGGATTAGATAATAGGAAACAGAATAGTAACTTCTGAGCAAGCTAAATGAATTTTGTGCACATCTCTAGACATAGTGAGGCTAAGGAGCCCAAATCAAAGTGGCTAGTTCTGATCAGATGCTCAGTCTGGGTAGAAGAATCCAAAAGAGGAAATTACATAGAAATCCCCCAAAAGTTTTAGTCTAGCAAAACATTTCCTCACATCAAGACAGTTCAATTCCAGGAAAAACTGCTAAAACAACTAAGTAATTTCCATGGAGAGACTGATAAAAGTAAACATAAAAATGACTTATTTAGACAATCATGGTGTGGGCATTTTATTCCTGAAATCTGAGAACATGTCCAGATAACATTTAGCAGTGACTTGTGATCTATGACTGGAGGAGTGTACAGCTCTGTTTAATAGACAAGAACTACAGAGAAATACATAACCAAGATAGTGTAATAAAATTCTTACAGGAAATTTTTCGAAATATAAGTGCTTGAATGCTTCTTGATTCTTCCAGAGTCCTGAAAAAGCCCCAGGTGGTAATGGCAACCTTAAAAAGCAGAGCAGTTATAATTACAATGAAAGTAGTAATAAAGATACATTGATTAGAACTAATAATTTTCCAGTGTGATAGATAATAATAATTCAACTCCCACATTGAAGCATAACCCAATATCTAACTCTGTGGGACAGATCCTGTTTAATTGAGGGTGAAGTAGTTGACCATGACATAGAAGAGTCATTGAGGAATGCTGTAAGGTGCTATTGTGGCACTCAAATAGTCAGAGCTCTTAAAGGGAAAGTTTTTATACACAGCAGAATTATGGACCTGCCTGAAAAGGGGTGTATGTCTGCCCCAAGTCAATTTTGAGATGCCCACAATATGACTTCATTGTTCCAAAATCTAACTAAGGATCAGAAGAACAAAATATGAGATTGCAGTGTATAATTCATCCAATAACATAGGAGAATGTTTCTGCTCTTCCTAACAAAGTCTGGTACCTTTAAAAATTTAGAGATTTTTATATAAATATTAAAATAAGTCTCTAAAGAGGGATCCCTGAAAAATGCAAGGGAAAAAAATCAGAAAGGTCCTAAGAAAAAGTGGAAGAGAGTATTACAGAACTGGAATTATTTGTAATAATAATAATAATATATATACACACACACACACACACACACACACACACACACACACATATATATATATATATATGTAGAAAAGGAAGTGAAAAGTAATAAACTCCAGCCACAATTTAGGTACATATGAGCTACAGCAGAATTATTTTTTTGCAGTATTCCGAATTAAACTTTTCTTCTTGATGTTACCTTCATGATTCTTCCACATTAAAGAAAGATCTCACAGTGCACCTGGCTTTTTTACTGAAGTTATAGAAAGAGATACATTTTCCTGAAGTTTCAATAATATAAAAATGAATTGGCCTGGCAGAAGGAAAAGATATTAAATAGAAGAAATATGCTAGCTAATATCTATATTCATGCTTCAAATCCAGGATCCAATGCTGCTATCCTTGCATACTGTCCCTAATTCTTCCAAGCAGACTGAAAAAGAGGCATTTCTGCCAGTTCAGCTCACTGTGAATTGGGAGTTTTTCTCTCTCAGAGAATGTCTTCTCCCAAAAAATTATTCTTTTGTTTTCAAAGATGATGAGCACAGCTTCATGTAGAATAGCAGGATTTGAAAACAAATGACATATGTAATAGTAGGAGAAGTTAAGTAAGCAGTGATTAATGTTAATAGGTTTGATTTCTTGGAAATGTTTTGTTTTAAAAATGCATCACAAAGTCGTAAATGCAAACAGTTCAAGATTTCTTAAGCACGGAGGAGCAACAAAGGCAGGAGGAAAAAAAGGGAAGTGTGGGGACTAGGGTGACAGTTGGTTAAGGGGGGCATAGGGGACCTGAGAAATTCTTAAGTAGCTAGGGAAGGGAGAGAACATCTGTCACTGGAGAGTGGCATAGTTCTGGCCAATCGGAAATGTCAACTTAGAATCTTCTAATACCAGATGAAGAAAAGTCTGTATTCACGGCTCTATCAGGAATCTCTATAGAAACAGAAATAAATGGAAATCATAACTCTTGTCCTATAGAGAATTCTGGAGTTAGACTCCCTAGCTTTGCATTTCACCAAGTCTTTCGGCTTTACTTGAGATTTCCATGTGAAGCCAATTGTTTTATCTCCTCCAAAGTGACTGCTTTCCCTCTAGGTAGACAAAGCCTGGGTAAGATTTAGAGTTCTGGTTATGCAGTAATACTATGGCTGGCGTTTAAAGTCCTGTGTCCAGTTTCTGTCCTACTGCCTACCTCAAAGTATTGCTAAAAGGTTAATAAAAGATCAGGATAAAATCTGCATATGAGATTTAGAAAGAAATCAGATTGCAATTATTTGGTTATCTTTGGTTTTATGGACACGATAGTATGAAACAACAGATGTCCTGAGTCTCCCCTAAAATACAACAGTGACTGAATCATGCCTGTAAAGCTGTAAAAATCTAAGCAAACATCAGCAAGTTTAATATCTGAGGACTGAAACTCAATAATAGGCAGTGTGTAAAAACCACCTGGCAACACCATAGGTTCCCTTATGCCCCAAGACACAGGACCCAGCAGGAATGGGATCAGTCGCAGAGGCAGTAGCAACAGTGCATCTGGTCAAAGAAAACTGCATGCCCAGGAGAGAAGAAGAGGCAGAGACCTATGATGGCATTAATAACTGAGAGCTCTGTGGTACGAAGGAAAGCAAGCACAGTTAGAATTTTCTTTCTTGCTCTCAACTGTACTGCTTGGAAATCCATGCCTCACCATTTAATTCTCCACTTTGGAACTCTGGATGCAATTCAAAAGCACCCTCTAAAATGCATGAATATTTTGTATTCAGAGCAATTTCAGATACTACAGCTTTTCTGCTAAATTAAATGCCTGGAGTGTGCTTCAAAATCAAAGAAATTTTTAAATTCCACAGGGACATGAAGTTTTTCTCTTTTAGAGAGGTAAATCCTATGAGTGCAAGTTATCTATGAAAACTGCAGAATTCTTATTTATTATAGACTAGGTTCTACAGTAGTTTAGAGATCACTAAATTATGCCTTAAAGGTAAGTGATCCCCAGAGAGCAAAGAAGTGATTTCTACAAAGTCTTAAAAAAGGCTGTGGGAAAAAAATAACAAAAATAATAATAATAAAAAAGGCTGTGGAAAAAAAACAAAATGGATCAAGATATTTTTGTTCATATCATTGTCTGATTTGAGAGTGACTGATCTTGAATCATTGCATTTGATACCTTGTGCAAACAAGATTAGAGCTTAGAATTTAAAGAATCTTCCAGAGAAAAAGTTTGCAATGTTATATTATTCATACCAGATTTTATAGTGAAGCAATAAGCTATAAGAAAGCAAACATATTTAGGATTAAAATAATGTGTTATTATTTTTTATTGATTAACTTTTACAAAGTTTGAGCCCCATACATTTCAAATGTTCCATACTGATTTTCCCCTCTATTCTTTATAATCACTACAAGTATAATTAATGAACATAAATAGCATTAGGGAATAGTGCTCTTTCAAAGAATAATCCACTTAATTACTACACAAAGTAATAAAGAAATGCATGGGCATGAATAATTGAAAAGAATGGATGTTTATCTCTCACTGACGATCATTCCCTGGGGTGACTTTGGATGCCAGCTCAGTTTTCAGTGCCTCATGGACCCTCATCATTCTTATTACTGATGACTTCACCTCATATCCGCAATAAAACCTACAGTACACCATTTAAGCTAGAATATTTTCTGAAAAAGGAATGGTTAATATTTTGATTTTGAAATGACTTAGCAGATGTCACCAATTTAGTTTACCTTTTTCCTTGTTTCTCACCAATCATTACATATATTCGGGAATCATGGGAATGAAAAAATATGACCTAACATTTGTTTGCAAAGAAAATTAAAAATTAACAAAAATAATTTTTTTTTCCATGTTAAACCATATAAAAATTTAAACATGCTCATTTGATTCTAGCTCTCTCATACTTGGGAGTGAAGGTATTCCTTAAAATTTTAAATTTCAGATATTTTGGGCATTTAGGATTCCCATGTATAAAGCCCAATTGCACACCTTTTATAGGCCATCGAGTGGTTCTGGAGGCCCACCCAAGCTGACTTCTGGAAAGAACCCTGTTTTCAAATTGTAGACCTTCTTTAGAAAGTGGTCTACATGAAAGAACAGGTATCTCTCAAATTACATACTTGTGAAAAGAACCACAATAATCTGTATTAAGTTAAAGTGTGTTTCTTTTTTTCCCATGATTTGATTGACCATATATTATTATATACTTGTAAAGTATTCACCATTTTCCATTCTGGATAAATGATATACCCTCAAGAAACACAAGATAACTATGGATTTACATAAACAATTCTGGATAGATGTAAAGCATGAAAATATCCTTGCACTATATCCTTGGGATATAGGAGTGATTTTCAGTTTGTTGAGTTAGTGGAATGACAACTGGACATATATTTTCAAAAGGAAAGCTTTGCTCTTACAGATCAAAAAGAATTCCTAAAATATGATTTCAAGAACTATTGAATTATATATATGTGTGTGTGTGTGTGTGTGTGTGTGTATGTGTATTGGCAAGGAATTATGTTATTTGGTGAGTCAGGGATTTTATATTTGACCTAGTAATGATACTTTTAGAAGTGGATCCAATACTATAGTAACTATCAGCAAAGGAGGAAGAATTTATAGAAGACGTTCAATACAACGTTATTTATAATCATAAATATTTTAAAAAGCAGGAGGACTATATTGGAAATAATTATTTTTAAGAGACAGAGTAGTAATAAAAGGTATTAATAAGACAAGGCTAAGGAAAACAGTAATATGTGTAAGTATACTGAATTATTTCAACTACTGAATATCATGTCAAAAGTAAAAGAACAAAATTAACATAAAACTGAAACATGGGAATTTAAAAACTTTACATTTTTAAGTATTGTGTATTTAAGTACTTTAATCTTCTACATGTTGCTAGTATAATCAGTAAAAGTTCATTAAAAGTGCAAGATTTATCTTTTTAAAAATTGCATCTAAATTTGTTCTACTTAATGGGCATTTATGTTTAAAATTGCCAAGAGTTGGCACTGTGGATTCTCCATCAGTAACTAAGCTTATTCTATAACCTTACTAGGAATATTGTAATCATTCCATTTTTTTCCTTTTCATTGTATACCACCTCTAGCTCTTTTAAATTGTTTTACTTACTTGACAACAATATTTCCTAAACACCGTGCCTTCAGTTTTTGCATGTTGTCATCCAAAATCATAACTATAGAAGAAAACATAAAAATTTGAGTAAAATGTGTACACTTAATTCTTAAATATTTTCATGTGTTTTATAATAAATTTCAAAAATGTTAGCATGAAAAGGCATCTTTTAATTACTTTGAGACAATGAACATTTACAAACATGCAAAAATATCTGACAAAAATCTATAAAAACAACATGGTTTTGATGCCAAAAAGTATCACTAAGTTTTCCTTTAGAATCTCTCTTAAATAGATGCTGTACTTCAAACATCCCAATAATTTCATAATGTATCTTCCTATCTTTCATGTCTATGTATTTTAATAAGAACGTCAAACATTTTAAGCTGTCAAAACAAAGGAAATAAGTAGTTTTAAACTATTTCAAGCAATAAAAATAATTGAAAGTCAAGAAAACTCCTGATTTAAGGCTTGCTCTCCATTTATAAGCCTTAAAGGCCAATTTAACTTTCCCAATTCTTATCCCATTGCTTTGGTGCTATCCAGTTAAAATCATCAAAAGCTCATGTATCCACATTCAGTAACTTTTAGTGAAAACTAAAAATGAGGATATATCACTTCTTAAGCTTTAACAGATCCTTTATATGGCTTCATCCATCTAGGTCATTCTACAGCTCTGAGAAAAGGACATTGTCTCTAGAAATTAACTGCTCCCTTCCATGTGTTCTGACACAATTCTATTCTGACAATTATCAGCTGTGTAGATATCTGTCTCTGACTAGATTGTGAGTTTATAAAGGGTGATGACAATAACTAATTCATCTTTGTCTTCTCATATCCCAGGACTGTGGGCAATTTACTATGAGCCTGTGAAAATCCCATTATCCCTTAAATTTCCTTATTTTAAAAGTGGGAACAATTCCTTTCTTAAAATGCTAGCAGGAAATTTCCTTAAAGATAAAAAAGTGACCAGCTACCCTAAGGTACCCAATGAATATGAAATTAAATGTTACACTGATTGTTTTTCACAGAATAATTTCCATTTTAGTTTTGAATCTCTGAATGATCACAAACTGTATAAAAATCACAAGTCATAAATTATGACTTCCTTAGAAATACTTTAGTTCTAATGTTTAACCTGCTGTTTGTCAGCCAGTGGCTTTCACAGTAAGAAACTTCTCTCATGAAATTCCATAAAGCATCAAAAGTTAACTCTTTCTTACAACTGGGTATAAAAATGGCTCTGAGATACTGAAAGAGGAATGTGTTTAACATTTTTCACAATCATCAGCCCCTAAAAATATCTCAGCACAAAAGCAATTTCTCTGATAAAAAGGAGCAGGGATTACAGAACTGTTCAAATGGGGAATTTTACTAAAGCTGGGTTCACCTTTCCATGCCTGGAAAATTCACAGATTGCACAGAGAATCTAATTCTGCACTTAAAAAAAAAAAAAGCTGATGTCTTTTTATAAATGAATCTGCTAGGCTAAATCAAATGGTCTATGTTTCCTTAATGTATTATTGTGCTATGGAAAATAGATTATTTTTATGTTAGAAGTGCAAAATTCAAGCCTCTAAATATAAGAATTTATATGCAAATAGAAAACAAGCCATATACATATATATGTCAATCATATTCTGTCCCCAAAGCTGGATTTTCCTCATAAATCTATTAAGCTAAATCGAGTGACCTTGTAACTCAAATACCATCTGTACTTCTTTGTCTTTGTCTGTTAGATGCATGTGTAAATCTAATTCAAGTTGACATATCAGTAGCTACTGATATATCAAGTTTAGTATAGCCTTTAATACTAGCAGGTGTTTTTTAAGGTTTCCTTGTGTTGACACCACAACACAGCAACCCTGTAAATCATGTAAAATTGTACTTATAATTAAGGAAAATGTTGTTCAAAAGGTTAGATGACTTATCTAAGTGCATAAGTTATGTAACTAGGGAGTGGAATTGGCCCTCTGTGGTGGTCCAACGGGTTAGGATGCAGCACTGCAAGTTAGCCGCAGCCACCTCAGTGCGAGTTCAATCCCCCACCCCAGAGGTGATCCACATGGTGTGGCAGACCTCTTCTGTCTCACCCACTGCTCCCCTCTGCAGTGTACTTCGTTGATCCCCGCTCTGTCTTCTGGTGAATCCTCTAAATGCCCCTGTACTTCTGGCCTATACCTCAGTTCTGTATGCATAAATAAATAAATCTTTAAAAAAAATAGAGAGTGGAATACAGGAAAGTATCAAAACTGTAATCATTATGGACACTTAAAAACACAAAATGAAAGGATCTTGTGTCTCAATGTCACATGCCATAAGCATGGATGAAATCTTTATTTTAAACTTTACTCTTTATTGTTTATCAACAAGATTCAAAAGTCTTATCACTTCTAAATTAAAGGGTAACAAAAATAATGAAAAATTTGTAGATTTTGTGATACGATAAGTAAATAAAAATAAAACACAGGGATTTTACTGTCTTTAAGATCTAAGCCACTTTGTTAGCTTAGGAAAGTTATTTATTTTCTCTGGCACCAGTTAACTGATCTGTGAAAAGGTGATACAATATCTGAACTAAATAAAACTCACCATTAAAGGAAATGATGTCTGTAAAGTTCAGTTCACCCAGCAGGTATTCCTTACATATTAAGTCCATATCTGTATTTGTAACACACCTTATAAATAACAATATTTTTTGATCATGAGGGCCACTTAGAACATAACCTACAAGTCTATGATTTAACCTTTGATCAGATAATTTTTAAAAGACACATATTAAGTACCCAGTATGTTTCATATAGTATAATTCACATTAGATGCAAAAATATAGCAAATGTATTAACAGTCTATATTTCAAATAAATGTAGCCATTTCTCACCATTGTAACCTGGAACACTCTTCCCTGCTTGGCCTGGAGGTGGTGTCTTAGAATTACCTAATCCAATGCATGATGCTGTAATTGGAGATCCAGTCTCTGGAGAAGAAAAATATTATTTATCATATGATGTTTCAACATGAGATCATTATTTCTTCAGTAAAAGCACTGTCTCCCCTAAGTATGCTACAGCATTTAAATGCCTTAGGTACAAATGAATATTTCTATGTGTATTATTTAAAAGAAAAAAAGTGCCAGTAGTTTAGACCATAAGGTCATTTATAAAATTTAAGCACCCATATTTAGAATATTTTATACAGTTGAGTTTCTGTAAAAATAAAAAAAGACCTCTTTAGTGTTGCACTTATGGATCAAGGGACATGAACAATGGAGAATTATGTTGCTATGAGTTTGGCAACATATGTTAAAGAATTTCTAGATAAGGCCCTTTCTCTTGATGCATCTAAAGTTAATGTAACAAAGCAAATAGCAGCGGTGTGTGAGATATTTCTGTACCTTGTATTTTAGTCTCTGAGTTAAGTAATCCAAACATCCTTAAAAATACACAATTTCTTTAAAAAAAAAAAAAGATTTATTTATTTGTTCATACAGAACTGGGGTACAGGCCAGAGGCTCAGGGGCGGCGAGAGGCTTCACCATAGACAGAGTAGGGAGCAGAACAGGCAGATTGAAGTACACTGCTGAGGGGAGCAGCGGCTGGGTCAGAAGAGGTCTGCCATGCCACGTGGTCACCTCCGGGGCAGACGGGAATGGAACTCATGCGGAAGTGGCTTTAGCTTCTCAGTGCTGTACTTTAACCCACTGCACCACCAAGGAGGGCCCCACAATTTCTTTTTTTTAAGGAACTACACTTGCTTTAAAACCTTGGACCTAAGGCTGAATTTAGTAGTGCTTCCTCAAGTTGTTCACAATTTGGTGTTCCTGGACTTCTTGATGCCATGTTGATTATTTCATCAACATCAGAAACTTAACCACAATTAAGGTGTACTAATGAAAAAAGAATTTTTTTGTTTTCCTTGCCTTAATTCATAACAGCCAGAATGATATCAGGTATTACATAATAACCATTAATTATGAAGTTGATTTTTTTGTGTGTGAAAGAATGTAGTGGTTATCATGAACAAATACAAGCTTAGAATTGACAGAAAGTTTAAGACCTGAGTTTTGTGTCTGTGAGTGGGTATTGACAATGAAAGTATGGGAACTACTGACTGACAGATATAGGCATATCATCAGTCAGTATGCCTATATCCAGAGAATTGTTGCCTAACCAACCAGATTTCCAAAATAGGGCAAAATATTTTCCTAAGGAATCCAAATGTATTCTTTCCATTCTATCATGCATTCATATCACTTTAGAATGATGGGAAGAATTTATTACTACTCTTTACTTTCTGGAGTAGTTGAGTCTATTATTCACATTTTATGGATGGTGGCTCAGCTGGCATCAATAACATAACATGGACTTTCTAATGTTAAAACACAGTTCCTAAGTCCCAGTCCAGTGTTTCAAGAATATATGGTCACAGCTGAGGTAAGGCAGCAAGTAATTCGAGCAGACATTTTTGTTTAACAAGAGCTCTCAAGTATTTGCATTTCAAGACAAAACATGGAAGGTATTTCATGAAATGTCTCATCTTTAGTCTGTGAAACTGTCCATTCTCCTATCACAATCAAAGAATGAGAGGAAATCCACATATTTGAAAGTGTTTACACTATTTTCCCCTTTGGCTTTTTAAAAATATTCAGCTATGCACCTGAGTATCCCTCAAAACTGACACAGAAAGACAAAAGCCATGATGATGACAGGATGCAACCCACTGGAGTTAAGCATGGAAAGAACAGTACATAGATAAAGCAAGTTGATGACAAGAACAGAAGCTTCTGGAAAACATTAAGAAAGAGAGATTCCCTTCAACATGATTCTATTCCCCTTCCCACCTGGGTGGGAAAACAACTGCTAAAATAAATCTGCTATTTTCACAGGATACCTTATCAAGTTTAGTTTATCATTCCCATCATCTGGAGTTCAAATTCTCCACATTTCTTAACACCATGAGGCCTCAGTCACAAGTGGCTCTGGAAACTCTAACTGTACCTGCCTGTGGTTTTAGTACCTGTCTCTTAAAAGCAATGCAACTAACATTCAGAACACTCACTGACTATGTCAGGTCACCTCATTGTGGATTCTTACAAAACATGTTGTTAATCTGCTCTTCCTAGATCATTGGGAGAAAGGAGTGTGGGCAGAGTGACAATAGTAAAACTAATAAAGACACAAGAAAGGGACAGAAAATCAGTCAAAATTGTATGCCTAAGTAAACTGACACTACAAATTTGCAAACAGACTGAAGCATTTCTATAAAAGATTACATAGCTGGTTGTTATGCTTTATAACTATTAAAGAACATATTCTTCTAATTAACTTGACCTAACTTCAAGAACAATGAAAAGTATTATCCTTCTAATTACTTAAATAACATGTTTATATTTTTAACATTAGTAATTTCAATATCTCATTGACCTTTTCTTGATATTTTCCTAAGCATTGTGGAAAAGACCTTTTAAAGGAAGTGACACACAAAGAGATTAGGCAAAATGACAACATCTAGGACTCTAAGAACCCAGAATCCAGTAAGGCCCCACAGTGGGATGAGAAAAATCATAATGGTTGTTATGGAAACTTCCTAAATGGACTCTCAAATAACTTCAAAATTGTTCGAAAAACATCTGCTTCACACTGCTCGGGATATAATGAACTAGCTAGCAGTTATCTAGAAGACAAGAAATCCAAGTGTTACATTGTGAATAGAAATAACTAAATTAAACAAACCAAAACAACCTTTTTGACAAAGAGAATTGGATGCTATATTTGGAAAAATTATCCCAAGATACCTAACCTTAGAAACACACAATGCTCAGCAATTCACCAGCATAATTCCTTTGGTAAGAGACAACCAGAAGAAGATGGCAGGAACTGAAGATTGTGAAGAATAAAGCTTCATGGATGTATTTATAGTCATACTGCATTAGAAATGAATACAGGCCCTCCCTGGTGGCGCAGTGGATTGGAATGCAGCACTGAGAAGCTGGCAGTGGCTGCTTCAGTGCAGCTAGATCCCCAGCCCCGGAGGTGATCGACATGGCACAGCCGACCTCTCCTGACCGCCCGCTGTTCCCATCAGCAGTGCACTTTATCGATCTGCCTGTTCTGCTCCCCACTCTGACTCTGGTGAAGCCTCTCATTGACTCTGCACCCTTAGCCTGTACCCCAGCTTTGTTTGCATAAATAAATAAAAACTTAAAAAAAAATGAATACAGACACTTGACTTCAATTTTTTGTATCTTTACTTCTCCATTCCACCTTAACTTTCAGTATAGTTTCCTTAAAACTACTAATTCTAAAAAAAAAAAAACAAAAACTACTAATTCTAAAGGAAAGACAATTGTATACATCTTTTTGTCCAAATATAAATCACGCCATGTATCATGCCAGGTACTTTTTGTTTATATGATTGCACTGAAACAAGTCAACATGAAGAAAAGGTAATATTCCTTTCTCTGATGAAAAATACTAAAAATATAAACCATGCATCCTAGTCCCCATAATTCCTTCAAAAAAGAAGAATGGACCAGACCAGTGTAACCTGTGAGATTTTCTTATGAACTTCAGAGGCTGGAAAGGAAGTAGAAATAAACCAGACTATGTCTGCTAGATGTAGACAATTTCTTGTGAGCGGGAGTGAGTCTGGTATCTAATATTTGCAAATGGAGGATTTGAAAATGGAATCACCAATTAGCAAATATTTATTGAGTAGCTGTTATGTGCTGAGTGCTATCATTAAGCCTGAGGCTAGAGAATAAACAAACATGACCAAAATTCCTACTCTAGTGAGATCACATTCCAGTTAGGGTGGTGAACAACACAAATACATGCAAAAGTAAAACACATGGCATGTTAGAGAGAACTTCTAGAAAACAAAGCATAAACAGGGATGAAATGTGAGGAGGAGAGATTGGCATTTTCAATCAATGGCCACAAAATACCTCCATAGACATGACATGTCAGTAAAGGCTGTAAGAAGTGAGGACACATATCATGTGTATCTATGGACAAAGAATCCAGGATAAAAGAATCACAAGTGCAAGGGCCCTGATGTTTGTTCCTTGACTATTTGAGCAACAGTAAGGCAGCCAGTAAATTGAAGAAGGAATGAGAAAGTGTTAATAGTAAACAAACCCAGAGATATTCAGGATCACTAAACGTATTTCAATGTTCTTCTTACATCTTAAGCTTTTAGTCTGAGTGGCGTTGCAAATCAATGAGGATTTGCTTTTTAAGATTTATTTATTTATGCATACAGAGCTGGGGTACAGGCCAGAGGTGCAGGGGCGGTGAGAGGATTCACCAAAGACAGTGGGGAGCAGAACAGGCGAACTGATGAAGTACACTGCTGAGGGAAGCAGCCGGCAGGTCAGGAAAGGTCTGCCACGCCATGTGGTCACCTCCGGGGCAGGCAGGGATCAAACTCATGCGGAAGAGACTTTAGCTTCTCAGTGCTGTGCTTTAACCTGCTGCGCCACTAGGGAGGGCCTAAAGACTAAACATGTTTAAGGGTTTGAGAATGGCACATCTTCAAACAACTAGCAACAACAAATGTTGGCGAGGATGTGGCAAAAAAGGAACTCTCCTGCACTGCTGGTTGGAATGCAAACTAGTACAACCACTATGGAAAAACTGTTTGGAGGTTCCTCAAACTGTTAAACATGGATCTTCCATATGACCCAGCAATCCCACTCCTAGGAATCTACCCCAAGACACAAAAACGCTGATTCAAAAAGATACTTGCACCTCCATGTTTATCACTGCAATTGGAAAGACATGGAAACAGCCCAAATGCCCAAAAGTGGATGACTAGATCAAAAAGATGTGGTACATATATATACAATGGAATATTACTCAGCAACCAAAAAAAAAAAAAAAAAAAAGAAACACATGTCCTTTGCAGCAACATGGATGGAGCTGGAAAAGATCATGCTTAGTGAAATAAGCCAGAAAGAAAAAGAAAAATACCAAT